AAAAAAAAAAAGAAGAAGAAGATAGCAGGAGGGGAAGAATGAAGGGGAGTAAATCGGAGGGGGAAACGAACCATGAGAGACGATGGACTCTGAAAAACAAATTGAGGGTTCTAGAAGGGTGGGGAGTGGGGGATGGGTTAGCCTGGTGGTGGGTATTAAAGAGGGTACGTTTTGTGTGGAGCACTGGGTGTTATGCACAAACAACGAATCATGGAACACTACATCAAAAACTAATGATGTGTAATGTATGGTGATTAATATAAAAATAAAAAAATAAAAAAATACTACTCTTTTAAAAACCCTTCAAAACAATATTTTAAGTGCTGTTTCCAAATGGAGTTTACATTTTTGCTCTTATCATTGTATTAAAGGTCATGTTTGAGGGGTTTTTTGGTGTGCTTTTTTCCAAAGTGAATTTGCTTCCGGATCTAAAACTAATACCTTTAACAGTATTTTTCACCAGGGAGGAGAGGACTTAGTGCATCTTCTAGACTAAGTTTTCTTACCACTTGTAGGATATGGTTTAATAAATATTCATGGGAGAATGAAAAGACAGTTGCTCTTACAAGCATATACTCTGTTGACAACAACAGCATAAACCTGAACAAAGCTGTACATTCTTGGTGCATCATTTCAGCTGAAAATGTGTTCAGTGAAGTATTGTTTAGTCCTTAGTAATTCATTTTTGTATGAGATAAAAGTACTTCATACATTAGAGAAAGCAGAGTGGTGATTTTAAGATTTCATCAGTGACCGTTTTTTACGAGTTCTATAAGCATATTAATTGACATTAAAACTCATAAAAGTCCATTTGGGAATGAAAAAAAATTTGAGATGATACCGGTTTTTTGTATGATATATCATGCAAATATTGTATGATAACCCTTAGTTACACTTTTTATTATGTCTGAATGCACCCTTCAATAATGATTCATGGGCTGTGGGTTTCCTGAAATTTTATTTCATGGGATGAACAGTTAAAAAAAGTGAATCCCACAAATTGACAACCCTATAGGAATTTGTATATTAATTTTTTTGTTGACTCCCACTCTAGTAATTTCTGTGTCCCAGAGCCTCTACCAATGCAGTACAGGCTGCCCCCAACTGTGTAGGAGAATCATGACAGGGGCATTTAGTGGCATCAGGCATCACCACCAGCACGGTGGTTGCATCCTCTCGTTTCACACCTGCTTTGCGGGTGTCCCCCTTTAGCTTGACCCTGACAGTGAACAGGTCTGAGAAGAAACCAGATGTTGGGGAGGGTTGATGGGAAGGGTTAAGTGGCAGCTTGTATCGTGCAATTTCCTGAACCCTTGCAGTGCAGGCCTGGGCCAAGCTGATAAGTCTGTTTCACTGACTAAGGCTTCATCATGTGCCAAAGAAGTGAAAACCATATTTGCATCTGCCACCAGAATCAACTAATACTAAATAATAGTTGAGAATTCCAGGTTGATTGTACTGGGTGGAAAATGGACCTCTCTCTTTGGTTAATTCTTATGTATGCTTTTACTGTTAATCTTCCTAAAAGAGACAAGAAATGAGGAAACTTGGATTATCAGTTTGTGTTCACTCTTATCACTGCAGTTATAAACGTCTGTCAAAACATGTAGATGTTTTCAGAAAGTAGCCTTCTGCGGAGGGAGTAGGGACTAAGACTAAGGAAAGCATTGTTCTATCAAGAGAAGTCGTTTTCAGTTTATGGCAGATGGGAAATCCATCTCTTATGTCCTATTTGGATAACAGAGTTCACTTTTAATTTTTTTAAACTTACTTTGATTTTTTTAATTGAAGTATAGTTGACACACAATGTTATGTTAGTTTCAGGTGTACAACATAGGATTTGACAAGTCTGTCTGTTATGCTGTGCTCACCATACAGTAGCACCGACCATATTCCCTGTGCTGTGCCTTTCATCCCACGACGTATTAATTTCATAACTGGAAGCCTGCGTCTCCCATTGCCCTTTACCCATTTTGCTTCTTCACCCACTGCCTCCTCTTTGGCAACTTACCAGTTTGTTGCATGTATTATGTTGCATGTATTTATGTTTCTGTTTTTCTGTATGTTCAGAGTACTTTTTAAAAATTATTTGGTGCCTTTAAACATATTTCTTTGTTTACATTATTTTAGCTACCTTATTGCTGTGTTACCCAATTAGTTATCTAATGACTTCAAAACGTGGTGGCTTAACAACCCTTTTGTCATGTTACATATCCTTTTCGTGTCAGAAATTTGGGCAGGATCTGGTTGGACAATTCTTGTGCTTCATACGGCATTAACTGAGGTCAGTGGGTGGTGGTCTTCAGCTGGCAGCTGGTTGGTCTAGAGGGTTCAGGATGACTTTATTCACATGCCTGTTACTTTGATGGGTGCAGTTGGAAGACGGGGCTCAGCTAGGCCTCCCCTTCCATGCAGTCTCTCTAACAGGGTCATTGGACTTCTTCCCTGGCTGCTCAGAGCTCCAGTACCAAATGTTCCAAGAGATGGGAAGTGGTAACTGTCAACCTCTTGGACCTGGGCCTGAAACTGGCACAGGTCTCTTCCACTCTATTCCACTGGTTAACACAGTCACAGAGCCCACGTGGATCAAAGGGAAGGGGGAATCATAGAATTTGTGATCATTTTTAATTTGCTATATATGTGCATGGTTTTTTTTCCCCTCTTTCTTTGGCCTGTGGGGGAGAATGGGAGTTATTGATCAAAGAGTCACAGGTTATTGAGCCATAAGAGAGACATTAGACTTAATCCAACCTCCATACTTTACAGATAAATATATATGTCAGTAAAAATGAGTAAAATTTTATTTTTCTGTGAAGATAGTTGATGCATCAAAAGGATGAAATAATTTCTATAGGACAGCTCATCTCACAGTATGACAGTACCTTTGATAAGCCACACAGACTTAGTAGCTAAGGCATGAAGAGAAAAATTATTATAAATATAATCTTCCATTAATTTTCCCTAGAGATTGCTATTTGGATATCTGCTTTCAAACTGTCCTTGGTAGTTACTGAAATTACTATTTTGTACTACTCATATCTTATCATTTGTTGTAAAAAATATTCACAGTGGGTAGAATTTTAGTGGTATTTGGGTTATACATTTTTGACACTTAAAAAAATAATAAGTGGAATTTACAAAAATGAAGCAAAATTATACATGTATTATATTTGGAGGAAACCTTTAATTCTATGGGGAGATGAGAGCAGAAATCCACAATGAACTTGTGAGTCATTGCATGAATTATTTTATTTTTTTGTGCTTTCTAAATATTTAACGTTTTGTAAGTATTTCAGTTAAGTTTGATGTGTGATTCTGAATATAAAACTCAGATCAAGATTCTTCTCATAAAATACCCTCTAAAGATCTTGACACTCCTCCATCAGGTGTCACTTAGTCTCATGAATCAAATGCTGCTTTCCAACATTGTGGCTGCAAAAAATCCACTGAACTTTCAAATCTCTGTGACCATAGAGTAACTGCTGAATTTGGAAACCAAAGGTGATCATAGTATAAATTCATTGACACAATTTGTACTATGATTTTGCAAATATAAGTTAAAGTTTTTAGGTTGAGAAAATTTCACAGCTTCCCTCCCTGCGATAATTTAGTGTTTTCCTGTTAAAATAACCAAGTTAAGGAGATTATTTCCTGTTAAAATAACCTCCAAGGGGAGGAAATTGGTGAGTACAGGTCTGGGGCCCCTTGTGCTTCGAGCAGTGCTGGTGTCTAGCTTGCCTTCAAGTTGATGGTAACCAGAGTTCTTTAAAATAAAGCAAGTCTTCAGTTTCACTGGGTGTTCTTGAGTGTCAAAGAGGCTCACTCAGAAGTGGTAATGGCTTTCTTCCAGACTGTTGGTGGTGGTGTGGGGCAAGAGAGGGTGCCGGCGGAGCTGGATGGTGGCGGACCTGCAGAGCAGGACAAAAACCATTCCAACAGCAGCACCTTGTCCGACCGAAGACTCAGCAACTCCAGCCTTTGTAGCATTGAAGAAGAGCACCGCACTGTGTATGAAATGGTGCAGCGGATTCTCTTGTCAACACGAGGTTATGTCAACTTTGTGAATGAAGTCTTTCGTCAGGTTAGTGTGTGGGTGTGTGTGTGTGTGTGTGTGTTGTAAGTTCATGAAATTGAAGAGAGTTTTGTTCATGTTCTTTTGCTCATAGTACTGCAAGAAATACTATTGATGAGTTGGGCTACATTGCAGGACTGAATAATGATCTACTGAATAATGATCCCTCTAATCCTGCTTTTAATTTGTCATGTGGAGTGTTGTGATTATGTTTAAGATTTTTTTGTAAAATTCCTACACATGGAGGGGAAATTCTACATAGGAGCAAATCATCCCCAAAATACCCTCATGTGTCCCTAAGAAACTTGAAACCCAGAGGTAGGTGGGAAGAAAGCCCTTGCTGAATACTCATCAACAAATGAACATGGCAAAGAGGAGCCCCAGGCTGGTGTTGTCCTGAGGGCCCGAGGGAGCTCTGTGGAGGCTCTGCAGACGGTTGTACTTTCCCTGCACACACACATGGAATGCACGTGTGATAGAAGTATTTATGACATACGAGGAAAAAGCTGGGAAGGGAGGGGAATAAGGGGAAAGCAAGGGCTGACACTGATACAGCAGCCAGATGGTGGACACTGTGGTGGGTGAAAAGAGGGGGGGTGCAAACAAGAAAGAGGGTGCAAGTGAGGAAGAAGACAGCAGAGGTACATCAGAGGCCAGGAAGGATTAGCAGCCCTGAGCTACAACCGGGGCTGGCTCTGCTCCCCAGGGGACCTTGGGCATTGTCTGGAGACATTTTTGGTTGTCACAGCTGGGAAAAGGGCAGTGCCACTGGCATCTAGTGGGTAGTAGCCAGTGATTCTCCTATAGGGACAGGACAGGGCCTCCATTCCACTACCCCATGACAGAGAACATCAGGCCCCAGTGCTGCTGTGGGGAAACTCGGACAGAGGAAGCAGAACCCGCGGTGCAGGGAGAGACAGCAGCTCTGTGGTGTGGGGTGGAGCCACTGGCCACCTGCCTCTTGGTACCGGTGCCCTGGGAGACAGAGCCTGGCTCTTCTGTGGGCGTGTTAATGTGATGGGGAGTAGCTTTTGAGTCTGGGCACCTGCACAGAGGGTGAGGCCCATGAATGGCAGAGACCATGACTGGTGGGGAGAAGGGGAGGAGTCCTGTGCACACACATGAACGGTGTATGCGCACCATGAAGAGCTTTTTGTGGAGGGGCAAGACTTCTAGATAGTGATTAATCCTTTCACTTCGGAGACTGTCATTAAGGAGAAATCAGCCAAGAATGAAAGTCCCAGTGTAATCCATAGCAGTCTGGAGGTTTTACCTTATTTTATATTTTAATGAATAAAGATGTTTGACTTAAAATATTAGTTTAAGCTTCATTGAAAATTCCCCTTATAAAATATTTTTCTGGTTTTGGATCTCAGCACTGCCTTGGTTCTTCTTACTCCCTGTGTCTTCTCTGTCTCATTTCTTGGCCCCTTTTTATTTGACCCCAGATTCCAAGAGTCGACCAAGTTTCTGGGCTTGAGCCTCTTCTTCTGTAACTCCACACTTGCCTCCCTAAGGCCTTCAACTGCTTGTGCAGAGCCAGCAGCTCTGTGGCGTGAGACTCCCAGTCAAGCCTTTTGTCTGGACCTTGCTTCTTGTTTGCATACTTGCCTTTTGAAATGCCCACTGGTGATCTTGTCTGACATTCTAGTGGTGTCTTAATGATAATGAGGCCAAAGCTTAGCTTATTTTCTTCCATAACATGAGCTTCTCCTCATGACCTGACCACTTCTTTAATGGGACTCATGTTCTTATGTGCATATTAATTTTAGCCCTCCTGTGCTGCTTGTCTCCTGCTCCTCCTGTAAGCCATCACTGGGCAAGTCATTCAGGGGGCTTGCTTACTCCCGCTCCCTCCCTTTCCTTCGACCGTGGTTAGCAGCATGCTCCCTGGAGCCCACACCTGCTGTGTCATCCCTTTCTACCCTATACTGTATATGTCATGCTGCCAAAACATTCTTTTATCATAATAATCCCTGATTTAAAAATCTACCCTGTTCTCTTCATTAATGTTGCCCTGTTGGGTTCCTGTTGTACACATGGAAGGTACTTGGTAACCATTTAATTTGAGTTGAAATCATCAAGTTCCTAGAGGGCATATAATTGAGGATAGGGGTCATATAGAGTAAAGGACCAGATAATAATATTTCAGACTTTGTTGATCATGTGGGCTCGGTTGCAGCTCCTCAGCTCTGCTTTCACAGTGAGAAAGGAGCCGTGGGCAGCACGTAACAAAGAAACATGGCTGTGTTCACAAAGAACTTTATGAAAGTCACTTGGCAGGCTGGATTTGGATGACAGGCCATAGTTTGCAGACCCTGATCTGTAGCAATGTTTTAAGCTCTTGGATGCCAGTGCTTACTATAAGACTAGATATGAATGACAAAGCTTATAAATTTTGCACATGAGATACATGCTAAACTGATGTGGTTTTACCTCTGTTGTGTAAATTGTTAATTTATCATACGGACAGTTCTGTCTGTATCCATTACTGGCAAGAGTGTGCTCTAAATTCAATTCTGAAGTAGCTTGGGCCATGGAGGTAACTGCAAACTACTTATGATTGAACTTCTGAGACATCTTTGTGCCGTGAAGCCAAAAAACATTTTATTTACATTTTATCATTATTCTTCATCAAATCTAATTTGAAAGCGTATATGTGAAATTTAAAATATGAGTGTGTGCTAGTTAAAATACTAAGTAGAGATACTTGTAGGGGCATGGTTTTAACATTATGTTCTATTGCCCTCTTGTGGTCAATGATGAATTTTTATTTTCTGGATGGCAAAATGTGACTTCTTTCCTAGTGATTTCTTTTTCAATTTTAAAGTGTTCAGAGACTATTTAATATTTAGGCCTAAAGGCATTAAAGTTCAAAATGTACATTCAGGAAGCACATGTTCCCAGTGGGGAGGTAAGATGTGTGTGTGTGCACCGGAGAACTGTGCATGATGGCAGAAGATCAGCTGTCCACGTGTGTGACATGGAAATAAATGCTGACGAGGGGCCCCAAGGGCAGAGAGGCTCGTGGCAGGGCTAACCGTGCAAGTCTTCTTGGACTGGATGGTTTAGTGGGTTGCAGGCAGTGGAAATATATGGTAACTGAGGGAGACGAGGTTCAAACTCAGGGCAGCCTCAGTTTACTGCTGCCCCCAGTAGGCAGGCTAGCAGTGAGTGGTAGAAGCTTCAGGTGGGCCAGTTCTGGTCTTGGGGTCGCTCTGCTGGAAACTTGTCTTCTTACCAGTGTTTTTCAGACTACTTGTTGTGACCATTTTTTAGGTCATGAAATCAACTTATCAAAAGCCAGTATTTTGGGGTGCTTGGGTGGCTCAGCTGGTTAAGTGTCTGCCTTTGTTTGGCTCAGATCATGATCTCCAGGTTCTGGGATCGAGCCCCCCGTTGGGCTCCCAGCTCAGCGAGGAGTCTGCTTCTCCCTCTCCCTCTCCCCCTGCTTGTGCTTTGTCTCTCTCTCTCTCAAGTGAATAAATTAAATCTTTAAAAAAAAGTAGTTTTTTAAGGGCGCCTGAGTGGCTCAGTTGGTTAAGCGACTGCCTTCGGCTCGGGTCATGATCCTGGAGTTCCGGGATCGAGTCCCACATCGGGCTCCCTGCTCGGCGGGAAGTCTGCTTCTCCCTCTGACCCTCTTCCCTCTCGTGCTCTCTATCTCTCATTCTCTCTCTAATAAATAAATAAAAAATCTTTAAAAAAAAAAGGTAGTTTTTTAAATAATGGAATAGAATAAAATAGACCAAAACATTTCAGAGTGTACTGCATGTTCTAAGGATTAGTATTTCTTTGTGAAACTTCTAAAACAACATTTATTTATGTATATGCTGTATATAAATGCATATATGCTTCTGTGAAATGTCTTAGGTTATAGGTCTGAAAAGTTCAAAGCACTCATCTAAAGGTTATTTGTTGATTACATTGTTCTGTTTGTTGTTGGTTTTGTTTTCAAGAATATTTTATTTTTAAAAAAGCGAATGTTCCTTAGATAAAACACAGTCTCAAGCAAATCACTCAAAATACTGCCTTTAAGCAACAACTGTTGATATTAGAAGAGGATCATTCCAGGTATTTCTATATGTGTGTATTTGGCTGCTGGCCTGGCTACCTAGAAAAGCAAATAAGAGCCTGGCAGAGAGGAGATGGGTAAGGCAGGATATAAACAGACAGAGAGCAGCCTGGCAGACAGACAGGAAGGCTTACAGATGAGCTGATAGACATAAACAAACTGGCAGGCAGGTGTAGAAGATCAGACAGGTGAAGGTAGGCCAGCTGGCAGAGGTGGAAGTGAGCGGGGTGGTGTAGATGCACGGGTGCATAGGTGCAGACAGAGAATGTAGCAGGCAGTTAAAGATGGACAGACAGACAGACAGACAGCCTTGGACAGGTGTAGGTAAAACCAGACAGAGGTTGACAGAGGTGAAGGCAGAGGCAAGGGGAGGGTATGTGGACGTGCCGGGTTGGGGGTGAGAGACTGACAGATAACTTTATGACAGTGGAATCTTTAATTCTTAATGATTCTTTCATGCATTTTTAATGAAGAGCTCTGAATTTTATTTTATTTGAATTTAACAGAAGAAAAGAAAATAAAGAGAAACAGAATTGTTAGAAATTCAAATAAACATTTCTTTACCACAAGAAATATTAATTACTAAAAGATTTATCTATAATGAGAAGATTATAATCACATTAAGGTGGTGGAATCACTTTTTATCCCCATGGTGTAATTTTAGATCGCACTTATTGATTTCTTAAGAAATCTGAAGAAATTATCAGCCTTGTATTTTCTTCAGCCTCCTCTCCCCATCCACTTATTTCATTATATTATAAATTGATAGCCTAAATTTACCATTATTTGCAGTCAGTTTTGGAATCCTCATGTGCAGAATTGTTTAGTCTTGCTTCTGAATTTAGATAGACTCTTTCCTCCTGGTGTCCTCAGTCCTAACATGCTTGCTTTGATTGACTTCTTAGATGGCCTCGTTTTGTCGTCAAGTGGGTGTTTTCAAGAAGGTGTCTTGAGGCTCTACTCCCTGAGTTCTTTTGTGATGAGGAATGTTTTCCTTTTGCCTTTCCACATGAACAGCAGTTTAGCTGGGTATAATAATTTCAGGTCACCCTTTCTTCCAATTAGGAATTTGTAAGTCAAAACTTTTCTAAAATTTTCAGTATGAATACCTTCAACATGTTTAAAGTAATAAAAGACAAGCTTGGAAATGTTTCCAGGACACAAGAAATTGTAACAAATGACTAAGCAGATTTGAATAATAAGAAAATAGAACTTCTAGAAATGAAAAAAAATGTAATATTGAAATAGTAAAGGAAAACCTCAGTGGGTGAGTTTAAGAGCAGGTTAGGTACAGCTGAGAACAAAATATACAGATGGACAGATCTGAAGAAACTATCCTGAGTGTCCCTCAGAGAGACAAAGATGAAAAATATGAGAGGTTGAGACGTGGGGAATATGGTGAGAAGGTAGGAAGCATGAGTTCCACTCTCCTCTATCCTTATTATTTTTTATCTGCTGTTCTGCAAGTTATTGAGAATATCCTACTATGACTGTGGATTGGTCTATTTTTTTTCAAAGTCTATCAGTATTTGCTATATATGTGTGTGTGTGTGTGCATTTCAAAGTCTATCAGTATTTGCTATATATAGTGTATGTGTATATATACGTACACATGTGTATGTATATATTTGAGGCAAAATTATTTTAGTATAGATTCACAAATGTATGTCCTTTGAATTGAATCTTTCATTAGTAAGAATTTTTCCTCTTTATCTCTAGTAATGCCTTTTTTTTTTTTTTTGGCCTCAAAGTCAGTCTTGCCTATTCTTTTTTTTTTTTTAAAGATTTTATTTATTTATTTGAGAGAGAGAGAATGAGAGATAGAGAGCACGAGAGGGAAGAGGGTCAGAGGGAGAAGCAGACTCCCTGCTAAGCAGGGAGCCCGATGTGGGACTCGATCCTGGGACTCCAGGATCATGACCTGAGCCGAAGGCAGTCGCTTAACCAACTGAGCCACCCAGGCGCCCTTGCCTATTCTTAATATAGCTCTACCAGTTTTCTTTTGGCTAGTGTTTGCATGCTATTTCTCTTTCTAACTCTTTACTTTCAACAAACTCTCCATATTCATATGTTTTGGATGTCCTCTTACAAATGGCATATAGTCTTTTTAATAGTTTTTAAAATCGAACCTTATAATTTCTATCTTTTGATTAGAGCATTATTATTCCCTTTTCAGTTGATATAACAACTACTGTAATTGTGTTTAAGTTTACTCTCTTACTTTCTGCTTTCTAATTGTATTGAATTCTCTCAGACTGGTTGTTTTTAGCATCCCATTTTTCTCCTCTAGCTTAGTATTTTTACACTCATTTGTAATATTTTAATTGTTAACATCCCTAACTTAAAATCTAGCATGAATTTCAACTTTTACACTGTAAGTCTGCACTCCAGTTCCATTTATTCCTTCTCAGTTCATATGCCCCTGCTATGTACAGATTTGCTTCGACTCACAATGCAGTTACGTCCTGATAAACCCATCATAAGTTGAAAATATCATAAGTCAAAAGTGCATTTAATACACCTAACCTACCAAACATCATAGCTTAATCTCAGCTACCCTGAACATGCTCAGAACACTTACTTTAGCCTACAAGTTGGGCAAAATCATCTAACACAAAGCCTAGCTTATAATAAAGTGTTAAATATCTCATGTTATTTATTATTTGAGATTATTCCATACTGGAAGTGAAAAACAGAATGGTTATATGGGTACAAAATGGTTATAATTGTATCAGTTGTTTATCCTTGTGATCCCAGGGCTGACTGGGAGCTGTAGCCCCTGCTACCACCCAGCACCACAGAGAGTGTCATACTACCTATCCCTAGCCCAGGAAAAGATCAAAATTCAAAGTACAGTTTCTACTGAATATGCATGACTTTTGCACTATCATAAAGTTGAAAACTTCTAAGTTGGACCACTGTAAGATGAGGACCACCTGTATTTGACTTCCATATTATGAATATATATATTATTTATATATGTACACATATATTATCTCTTTTGTAATTATTATTTTACCCAGTTTTATTCTTTTTATTCATATATATTCATATTTACATTTTATTCATTTAGATTTATCCAAATAATTACTCTTTTATTGCGTTTTTATCTATTCCTGAATCTCTGATCCAGGATTATTTTCCTTCTGCCTAAAGAATAACTTTTAGTATTTCCCTTAGGTTAGATGTCCTGGTAAAAGTTTTTCTCATTTCTGTATCTGAAAATTTCTCTATTTTGCTTTTGTTTTTGAACTGCAATTTTTCTGGATAGTGAATTCTACATGGGCAGCTGTTTTCTCTTTGCACATTGAATATTTGTTCCATTGTTTCTTTGAGAAGTCATGTGAGGTCATGTGGTTGCTCCTTTGGAGGAAATGTCTCTTTTTTCCTCTGGAAGCTTATAAGATTTTCTGATTGTTCTTGGTTTTCAGCAGTTTTACTGCAATGTACTCTATTTACCCTGCTTGTGTTTGTGATTCTTGAATCTGTGGATTGACATCTTTTACCAATTTTGGCAAAATTCTCAGCCATTCTCTCCTCAAGTATCATTTCTGCCCCTTTTTGCTAATCTTCTTTCCTTGTGCATCTGCAGCCATGCATAAGATCAGCTTTTCATTGTGTTCTCTCTCTTGCCTTCCCTTCTGAGTTAGCCATCCTTTCATCTTGCCGTGCTTCATTCTGGGTGTTTCCTTCGGATTTTTCATCCAGTTTTCAGCAATGTCCATTCTGTTGTCAACCCACACACACTGAGTTTTTAATTTTGGTTATTTCATTTTTTAATTCCATTTACATTTCTTTTTGAAACTTTCTTTATCCTGATTTCCTATGTGTTTAAAGTATTGCCTAGTTTTTATTGTGGTTTTGTTAATATTGACTTCTTTTCTCATATTTCTGATTTTTAATTAATATGCTACATATCATATTAACCAGTTTGTACAAATAATTTGGGTTTTACTATGATTTTACTTTCCTACAGAGAAAATTTCTATTTGCTTCCTGGGGGTAGGATAACATGATATACCTCGATTTACCTCATTGTCTACATTTTTCAAACCTCATTACATGGTCCACTTAAGATTTGTGCATTTCATTATTTATAAATTTTATGTAAAGTACCATAAAAAATTTTGAACTCTAATCGGTGATATGGGCATGTTGAAATATTTAGGGGTGAAATGTACTGATGTCTGCAGATTTCTTTGAAATGCATCAAAAATAAGATGGATTGAAAGAAGGATAAATAGGGGTGGATTGACGGATATGTGGTAAACAAATCTAGCAAATGCTAATGGTAGAATCTAGATGGCAGTATATAGATATTCACTTTAAACTATTTCTACTTTTTTGTATGTGTGAAAATATTTGTAATAAAATTTGGAACAAAATTAGAGTGGGACACCATTGTACTTTGTCATACTCTGCCTTTGTTGCTCTTTCTTGAGATACAAATCAGAATATTTGTTACATTGATATGTTACAGTCTTGTTATAACACAGACTCCTCTGTTCTGGAATTTGATGTGACATCAATGGAAATTTATATATTGCATGAACCCTTGTTACACTGAAATCTGCCTGTAATTGGATCCTGTGGCATGAACATTAAGGACAGTATTAAATCTCTGAATCTTGAGATCTCAAGACCTAGAATCATTGCTAACTTACTTTGTAACCTTGGGAAAATATCTCAGGTGTTCTGAGCCTCAGTTTAATTCCTCGTCTATGGAATGAAAGCATTTCCTGTAGTATTGAGTTCCTCTCCTTTGTGTTTACCCCTCAGACAGAAATATTCCTTAGATCTGATACTCAAAAGGCAAATACATTTCTCCTTTACATTTTGGCTTATATTTTTGGAATCTTACATTAAATCAGAATTCTTACATGCATATGTGTAAAGAGATTCTTTAATGTTAAGTTCATGGGGTGCCTGTGTAGCTCAATCGGCTAAAGTCTGACTCTTGGTTTTGGCTCAGGTAGTGATCTCAGCATCATGGGATTGAGCCCTGCATCGGGCTCTGCGCTCAGTGCTGGAGTCTGCTTGCCCTCTCTCTCACCTTCTGCCCCTTCCCCTGTTGTGCACCTGCTTGCTCTCTGTCTAAAATAAATTTGAAAAATCTCAAAAAAAATAAAAAAGTTTGCATAAATGTGCACAATGCTACAACTGGCCTGGGGCTCTCTTTAGTGTATTTTCTGAGAGCCAACATTCACCAGCATACCAGTGAGTACAGAACACCTGAGTACAATCTTTACTCACTGGTATGCTGGTGAATATTGGCTCTCAGAAAGGGAAGGGAAGGTGTAAGGGAGGGAGGAAATAAGGAAGGAAGGAAGAGAAAGACAAAAAAAAAAAAAAGAAAGAAAGGCTCCAATTATTAGCATTTGCCAACTTCTGTGGTGTAAATACTCCCTCTGTCACCTACACAACATCCCTGAACATGGGTTAGGCAGAGGTGTGGCAGTTGGCTGCAGCTGGCTGCGGTAGTATGTCTGTTGTCTTATAATCAATTTCTAATTCATTGGGAAAGGTTCCCAGTTGTATAACTATTATTGTCTGTATAGCAAATTAAAGTATCTGTGTAGGTGTGCATGTTGGCTATTTTTGTGAAAAAATTATTCAGAATGCAGAAGTTATTTTTAAATTACATGACATTTTCTGGCCCAGTTGAAAAATGCCTTTTTTCCTCAGCAAGTTTGGTGTGCACAAAAATATGTGGCCCTGTATGTTTCAGAGGAAAGTCTGAAATTGGTGATGGTGATTGGAAATGTCTGTTATGTGTCTGTTACAGTGATCTAAGCAGGTGTGGAGTTAAAGGGAGTCTTCTCTTCTTATTTTAGGCATTTTTGTTGCCTTCCTGTGACATAGCTATAACAAGGAAGGTAGTTCAAGTGTACAGAAAGTGGATCCTCCAGGACAAACCTTTGTTCATGGAAGAACCAGATAAAAAAGAAGCTGCCCAAGAAGATGCTGAAAAATTAGGATTTTCAGAGACTGACAGCAAAGAGGTAATATGTTATCACTTATTGTTTCAGTTGGGAGTACACATATTTTAGCAAAGTATACCCGGTCAGGCAAAGGTGCCAGTCAGTGGGACATAGACCGGCAGGGCTCTTTTATCATAGCTGATGCTCTCAAATTGCTGAGTTCCATGAGGATCTGCTATAGTGAGGCTGCTTCTGGGCTCTATTCAGGGTCATTGGTACCCTCCTAACCCTCAGGCTTGGTCTTTGTGTTCATGGCAGCTTTGTTATTCACTGTTGCATGAGAATTGTTTTATAAACCACATTTTACACATCTCTGTATGAGACTAAAAATGTCACTGCCTTATTGGTATTGACATGTTTAAATGAATAGCATTTGAAAAACTAAATTTAGAATGTTTGGCAGTCTTGTCTTGTGCAGTGGCCTGTTCCAGAGCAGTTGAAAGGTCTAACCTAATAATGAGTGCTATCTCTTCCATCAGGAAGCCTCACTGCAGGACTGGGCACTGTCCTCAGAGTGAGAGCTGTTGGAATGGAACTTTTAGTCCTGGTTAGGTAAAGCTTAGAGGCTGGATAAATCTGAAAGAGCCAAGATGTCCATCGACAGATGAATGGATAAAGAAGATGTGGTATATATATACAATGGAATATTACGCAGCCATCAAAAGTAATGAGATCTTGCCATTTGCAATGATGTGGATGGAACTGGAAGGTATTATGCTGAGCGAAATAAGTCAATCAGAGAAAGACATATATCATATGATCTCACTGATATGAGGAATTCTTAATCTCAGGAAACAAACTGAAGGTTGCTGGAGTGGTGGAGGTGGGAGGGAGGGGGTGGCTAGGTGATAGACATTGGGGAGGGTATGTGCTATGGTGAGCGCTGTGAATTGTGCAAGACTGTTGAATCACAGATCTGTACCTCTGAAACAAATAATACATTGTATGTTAAAAAAAAAGATAGTAGGAAGGGAAAAATGAAGGGGGGGAATCAGAGGGGGAGACGAACCATGAGAGACTATGGACTCTGAGAAACAAACAGGGTTCTAGAGGGGAGGGGGGTGGGGGGATGGGTTAGCCTGGTGATGGGTATTAAAGAGGGCACGTATTGAATGGAGCACTGGGTATTATACGCAAACAATGAATCATGGATCACTACATCAAAAACTAATGATGTAATGTATGGTGATTAACATAACAAAATAAAATTTAAAAAAGAAAACTAATGATGTATGGTGACTAAAATAACAATAAAATTTAAAAAAATAAATAAAAGTGGATATTTGTTGCAATTAACAAAAAACATTTAAAACTAATCAAAAGCATATCACTTTTAATATCTGTATTAATTCCATAATTTTGATTTTTTAATATTGGTGAAATCATTTTAAATGGTCATGAGGTCAAAATGAATAGATAAGTAAATGGAATTTATCACACATTTTAAAGGTCTGTGTTACAGACTCATTCAGTCATTGGACCTTTGTTTATTTCTTCACATACTAAACGCTAGGCACTATTTTAGGTGCTGGAGGTGGTGAACAAAATGGAAGAAACACTTGTCCTCCTAAAACCTATATTCTCATAAGTTTTGGTGAGTGTAAGGAATTAAATATGCAAACATGTATTCTTCCCCCTCCGTTAACTGATTTTTATCTTCTGAAGACCTCATCTGAAGGTTCTCGTCATAAGCGATCTTCCAGTTGGGGACGAACATACTCCTTCACAAGCGCAGTGAGCAGAGGATGTGTGACAGAAGAGGAAAATAAGAACGTGAAAGCCGGGGCCCAGGCTATGCTGCAGGTACACAGCCAGCCAGAGACATAAAGACCTCCAATTGGAGTCAATTTGAACATTTTGTTTATTGTGATAGCCTCATTAAAGTATGGTAATATTTTTATCTACCTGTCAGTAAATAGCTCTTAAGTTCTCATTCTGAGTTTTCTTCCTGACTGCTCACCTTCAATTTGTAAAGATTTTTTTCTAGTCGAAGGAGACCCTATGAGCTGTTTGCAGGTTTTTGAGAGGGATGATTACGCAGTGAATGTGAAATGACTGAGATCCAAATCTTAAAAAGTATCTTCTGAACACATATGGGGAGTTAGTCAGTCACCTGGACTCTAATTTGCAAGACAAGCATGATGATTATATAATCTTATAAGGAATATTCTTCTTAAAATTCCCTGTTTATGAAGAATGATGATAAATGCTCTAATTTTTAAATATTTATCTGTATCAAGAAATAAAATAGAACCGATGCCATTTGGGAACAGTGGAAAGAACAACTTTGGCTGATCACTTAATCTTCTCAGACCTCAGGTTTTTATCTCAAAAATGGGGATTGGGAGATTGATTACCTCTTGGCTCCCATCTAGGTGGAAGGTTGTTAGGACTATAAGTGAAAACACAGAATGCCTCTCTTTCCCCTGCTCTCTGGCGCCCCACCCTCCACCCTGTATCCACCTTCTAGCCATGGCCAGTAGGCCTCCCACACAGAGGCCAGGCATGAGGTCTGAGGTAGCATGGTCATGGTTTGCCTGTTGCCCAGTTTTTAATGACACTGCTTGTGTCATCCATCTCTTGATAGGATTCCTTGTCATGGTATCCTTTTTGCTTTCAGATTCATTAGCAGTTTAATACTTTGTAACTATTGAGTTTTTTCATTTTTCAATGAAAAATCAGCAAATAATTTGAAATTAACTTTAAACAAAATCAAGATGATTTTACTAGAGTAGCTTCAAAGAACTCCGGTGCCAGTTGTTAGTAAAATCTGTGCCTTCACCAGAGAAGTGCATGCCGGAGTCCCTGCCTATGTCTCTTGGTAGTCCTTGTCCTCCAAGTGGATTGCCTTATGCCATCCTCAGCCATTTCACTGCCAGTATCTCCCTAAATTCAGGAGAGTGTTAATTTGTTTTCTGAAAGGATAAATTACATCTACTTGGCCAAACCAAGAAAAAAAATTTTCCACTTGATTATAGCAAAACAGTGTTCAAAAATGTTTAGTTTGGATTATAATAGCTGTTTTTGTTCTCTTTGTATCCAGTATCTTTGGTCCTTTCCTTGGTTCATTAGGAAAAAGTGGCCAAGTACAGGTTGAAAAAGCTAGTACTCTTCTGCAGTTGCTGTTGACAGGTACAATTTGGACATATTAATTTTCTTTATTTTTACCTTAACCGATACTGACATGGTAGTAAGAAATATTCATGGAGTTGGCATTTTGATCTTTTTTAAAAAAGAAAATAAAAGGAGTATATATGAAGACTCCTCACTTTTACTTGGGAATATGAAAAGTTTCAAATTCAAATCAAGAAACCAAATACATTGAGTTAAAGATCTGTCTTAACAGTGGATCATCTATGCCATATGTCTTCCAAAAACATGGCCACTAGCGGCACTCGGGTGGCTCAGTTGGGTAAGCCTCTGACTCTTGATTTCTCAGCTCAGGTCTTGATCTCAGTCAGGGTAGTGGGAAAAAAAAATGGCCACTAAAATTACACTAAAACTGCTATAGTTGATTAGTCAAAAAGTTCTTCGTTTTCCTTTTTCCCACTTGAAGGCTAGTAAATTCTTTACAATTGCTGTTATCATCTGTTATCAACTATTATAGTGCTTATTTAGTAATTCTTTCTAGAAAATTGGGCCATGACACCTTTTTAATCTTACACAAGATAATCTTAGAGGCTGTCAATATTTTAGTTTACCCACTTGACTTTTGAGCTTGTTTATTTTAATTTCTTTAGTTTGTGCATCTGTTTTAAGATGTTGTGTTAATGGATTTCAATCCCAGGTGAGGCAGCAAAGCTCTGTTTATTCCCAGATCCTTTGAATTTGTACTGGTGTCCTCTGTGTCAGTAGTAACACAGTGTTACTTTACTGTAGTGCCCCTAAGCAGTCACTTCCTACATAATAGCCTACATCTGTGCTTCTCACAATTTTCTTCTGAACACCCCTGACAGTAAAGAATAGTGAACTTGTAAAGGACTGAGGTAGAGTGTAGAGTGGTCAGCTGATCATCTAAGTTTTTTTAAACTGTTTTTATCCCAAGAATTCACTTAGGTTTTGTATCCTATTGCATAATATAGTTCTCATATTAAAAGTATACCTGGAATCACCTGGAAGCTATGTACTGTTGACCATGTGGCCTTGTCTGTTTCCTGACTCCTTACAGCTCCTAGAGATCTGCACCTGTGTTGGGTGGCGCTGGCTGTGATTCAACAATAATCACATAGTTTTTCCCAGCCACTGTCTGACAACTGCACCTCTTCCTCTCCCCCTCCCCGGCCCCAAAATTTCTCACCCAGAAGCAGTGATCCTATCTTACTGTTTTCCCCTTTTCCTTTGAGGGAATGTCAAAAAGAAGTCTTAAAAAGCTTTTCTGATTCATAAATTTTCTAAAGTTGCACTTTAGTATGTATTAATAATTTTTTAGAGAAGGTCTTTCAGGTGTCTCAGGTGATTCTAAGAGAAGCATTTAAAAAAAATCCTGAGTATGTGTTGGTGCCACTTACCTTATTGAGACAACTCAAAGGTGATTCCTTGGTAGAGGGAAATTAATATCATTATCTCTAAGAAAAATTTGTTCAGATCTATATGTTTAATTATAATTTCTATGTAAAATTTGTTGATTTCAAGGTATTTTTGACAAATGCAGCAAACGTCTTTTTGCTGGAACCATGTCCTGAAGTTCCCATGCTCTTGAAAGAACAAGTTGATGCCTGTAAAGCTGTTTTGATTATTTTTAGGCGCATGATAATGGAACTTACAATGAATAAAAAGACATGGTAAGTTTATTTCAAATTAATTAATATTGTAAAACAGATGTTTCTGTTTTTCAACATAATAATTCAAAGGTTAAAGTCTCCACTTACTAATGGCTTTACAAAGTTAACAATAAGATGGTAATCAATCTTTTGTAACAGTTTCTGTGAATTATGAAGAAGGTAAATATCCAGCTCTTTGGTAGTTTATTTTTATTATTGGGTTTAAAAACGTTACTGAATTAAAAGTAGTCGTGTTACTTAATAGTAGATTTTTCCATTTTAAATTGTCATCAGACTGCTTTGTGGAAAAGCAGCATAACTGGTGTTTTATATCATTCTTCATAAGCCCAGGAGAGGTTGTTAATTGCTCTGAAATGCTGTTAACTGATTTTTATTGCTTCAAATTTGAAGCCTTAAATTCACTTTGAAAAAACAATTATCTTAAATGACAAATTGTCAGAATGACTGAATAAATAGTACCGTCAAACATATAGTGGCGTCATGAAAATGTGCTTATGCAAAATGTTTTCGTTTTTATCTTTTGTTTTTTTTGGGTGTCTCTGTGTTTATAATATCCCTGAAAGTAAACAGTGCTGTAGGTTTTTCCCATGCCCTTGTCCTGTAATGAATGCATCACTCCAGCTTAGGAGGTGTTTTCAGACGTTCTCAGCAACAGAGGCTTCAGAGCCCCTTTGTAATCCTCTTTCTTCATGTCCCTCAGTTCTGGTTGTAAATGCCTCTCTAGCCTGTCCTTTGCATGTTCTTCCCACCCAGCGCTGCCCTGGAGTGGCCCGGCTGGGTCAGCCTTGCTGTCAGTGAGCTTTGGCCTCTGTGCTCAGTGCGCAGGACACTGCAAACCACTTCCCTCATGGAAATCCTTGGTGGGGCCCCGTTACCAAGCCTGTGTTCTGGATGCTTTTTCTGGATGTCCTTGCATCAGCACTAAGGGGGCTTTGGAAAGCTCTGTGTGCACCTGGTGGAAAGCATAGAAATGAGGCAGGACTGAGCTGGCAGGGGCCCCTGGGGCTGTGGAGTCCAGCCTTGTTCTTTATCTGGTGAAGGGAGGGTGGGCCTAAAGGAATCCGGTCAGGTAGCAAGTTCACTGGTACAGAAACCATAGGAATCAAAATTATTATTTTAAGGCATAAATTCCAGGGTCATCTTTCCCAGACTGGAAATATTACTGTGGTGAACAATATGATTTAAACAAAGTTAAATGCTGTGTGAGTAACACTGGAAGTAATGAGAAATGCTGGTATGCTCACAGCAGAAACATCTGCTCCTCGATAGTATAGCAATACTATTTTTGATGAGTTTTTTCTTTGAAAACTATGAATTCAGTTTACCTTTGTATCAGTAGTATTTTGATCGTTTTGATAATCTTTTTTGGTGAAAATTCTGAGATAAAATTAAGCAAATCTTTTCTATTCTTTAATAATTAAGAAATTTCCCGGTTAAAGTATTAAGAAAAAGCAACTTATGGAAATAGATGAAAATACCCAAAAATAGACAGTAGTACATAGAAAGGGGTGTGGCCTGTTTCCCTAGCAGAATTTCCTATGCATTTTGGTGTTGGACAATCCCTGAATTCCCTTTCTCCCTTCTTTCATCCAGTATATAACTACTAAGCTCTTGCTGTGAGGATATAAGGTGAACTAGACAGAGTTCTGCCCTTGTGAGGTTTCCATCCTCATAGACTGAGAGACAATGACTGTAGCAGTTTCAGTGGCTGTGCTGGGAAAGGGGACAGAGTGGAGAGTGAGGGAATGTTCTTCTACAGGTGTCCAGGAAGACCTTTGTAAGCAGCACCCTGAGGACAGTAGGGAGAGGCCAGCGGGAGGTCTGAGCATAGAGCTTCCCATGGGAGGAACGCAGGTACCAAGTGTGGTGTGTTCTAGGCCAGTGTAGTGGGGCAGACAGAAGGAGAGGGAGGGTGGGAGGGATTATGACAGGGACCAACAAGAGCCAGGTTGAGTGGGCCTTGCCGGCCACAGGAGGGACATTGGCTACTCCTCTGTGTGTGCGCAAGAGTGTGACACAATCCAGTTTATGTTTCCAAAGATTTCTCTGACTGCTTCTGGAGGAGAGACAGTGCAGGGGAGAGGGGGGAGTAGACAAAGTCAGGGGCCATAGCTGATGGCAGCTTACACTAGGGCTGTAGCCAGAGAAGTGCTAAGAAGCAGTCCTGAAATAGCAGCAATGTTGTGTGAATGGTTAACAGTACTGCCTGTGTGAGAAGATGGGGACAACGTCAGTAGTAAAGAGTGCAGGAAACCTGTTCCTCAGTGCAGGGACAGCACACACGCATAATTTCCCATGTTCCCATGGAAGTTTTACACTCTGGAGCAGTTCTTTTGTGAAGAGGAGGGACCGAAAGTCAGTATTTCACAAAATGCAAAGAAACAAGCTGGAGTCAACAGTGTTAGGAAAGATTTTTCCAAACTGGAGATGATCTTTTCACCTTCATTTTCTTCCAGAAGACTGTGTGGGAATTTCATGGCTTGCCAAGCTTTCATAGGTTCAGAAATTAAATTAACCCTGTGTCTTTGTCAGTCATTGCTTTGGTCAGGTTTGCACTTTTTTTTAAGTTTATTTATTTATTTGAGAAAGAGAGAGAATGTGTGAGTGGGGGGAGGGGCAGAAGGAGAGAGAGAGAGAATCTCAAGCAAGCTCTCTGCTGAGTGCAGAGCCGGATGCAGGGCTCCACCCCATGACCCCGAGATCATGACCTGAGCCAAAACCGAAAGGCAGATGCTCAATCCACTGAGCCACCCAGGCGCTCCCAGGTTTGCATTTTTGATAGCAGTTCCCATGACTGAGGTTTGTTTTTTTTTTCCTTTTTTTTTTATTATGTTATGTTAATCACCATACATTACATCATTAGTTTTTGATGTAGTGTTCCATGATTCATTGTTTGTGCATAACACCCAGTGCTGCACGCAGTACGTGCCCTCTTTAATACCCATCACCAGGCTAACCCATCCCCCCAACCCCCTCCTCTCTAGAACCCTCAGTTTGTTTTTCAGAGTCCATAGTCTTTCATGGTTCATCTCCCCCTCCGATTCCCCCCCTTCATTTTTCCCTTCCTGCTATCTTCTTTTTTTTTTAACATATAATATATTATTTGTTTGAGGTTTTATGTGAAAATTATTATGCTTTTTGTTCTCATCATGTTCATAAGATGGGTATGTAACCATTCATGTGGAAAGGATTATTTTTTGTTGTCTTAAGCATCACATAAATGTGAGCAGGCAGTGGTGATGCTGGGGTCTGTGACAGGGGCCTGGGTACCCTGAATATGGTGAGAGACATGCTCTCCCCTGCTCTGGGGACCTTCTTCCCTCATCCTCCTCTAAGCTGTCTGTTCTAGATGCATGCACTCACATCTCCCATGACTTGAGAGCTTTTCTCACTCCATGCTTCCAGAACCCATAGACAGTGTACAGCACAAGCAAACAACTAAAACAAAGTTCCAGATGTTGCCAACAGATAACCCTGGGATGAAAATCAAATGGGGTCAGCTACAAATAGGGCAGGAAACCCTATTTGTAGAGGTCATTGTACCATGAGAAGCTTAATGAGAGTCCATATCATTGTTAAAGAGAAAAGACTGTCTCAATATGTGGAAGTACAAGAAGAATATAAAGGAACTGTGATTTGGAGATCTCATCATCTGACCTGGACTGGATGACTTTGTCCAGTTTCCGATCTTATCATTAATGAGCATGTAGGCCAAGGAGAAAGTTATAAAGATGAATGAACAGTTAGTGGATAAGACCTCGAGGGAGAAGTTAAAAGGTGTGGTTCCCCTCAGAACAAACAGACCTCCCTTATATACAAAAGATACATGTTCTTGGTTAGCATGGAATTCAAGAAAAGGAAAAGTAAGCAAACACTGATATGAAGATTGTAACTTAGCTGTGAAAGAAAAATGCCCTTTGGCTGTTCTGAAGAACTTACTGCTATTTACATAATTAGTGGTGTTATTTTGTGTCTTCAGTGCCCTCTTGAAGACCCAGCACCTTCCAGGCACAAAACTCCATGCCTCAAAGTGACCAAAGGTGACCTTTCCAAACCCCACTTCCTGCAAGTTCCTCTGGATTTCAATCATAGTATGATACTGACTGTGTATCTCCCCAGAATGAGGACCAGAATGTCTGTTTTATTTCCTACCACAAAGATAGATGGGGAGACCTCACAGGTTAAGTAAAATAATGGATGGGAAAACTAAAGGATGCTGCATTAAGTTCAAATGGGCACAACTATTCACTATTCACTGGGCACTTTTAAGGGATTGGTATAGTTGGAGAAACAGTCTTGCCTCCCTGTTAGAAGGGGATAAAATTAGGCTAGGATGATACCTGTTTTATCCTGCCTATTGATGTGTGTGTAGGTCACATATTTTTAGAACTTTTGTAATGTAAGATGGTTTATTTTGATAAAATATGGTATTCATTGTGTAATTGGCATTCAGATTATTAATACTTTTGAGTAATACATGATTATCATTGTTGCTGAATTCTTAAGAGAATTTCTTGTACCTATAAATTAAAGTGCTTTGGAAATGTGATTAATAATGTGAGTTTTTATTTTGGGTGGCCCAGGGAACAGATGTTGCAAATACTACTAAGGATAACAGAAGCTGTCATGCAGAAGCCAAAGGATAAACAAATAAAAGACTTGTTTGCCCAGAGCTTGGCAGGGTTACTGTTTAGGGTAAGTCTTTTTTATTAAAACACTGCAAATGCAAGAAATGAATCAGATTTTACAGCAAAATAGTTTTAATCATCGAGAATTTTAAGAGTAAAATTAAACTCTAAACTTCTAGAAATTTCATTGTTAATTTTCTTTTTTAGCTTTTTCTTAAAGTTTGTAATCTATTCTTTTTTTTATTTTATTTTATTATGTTAATCACCATACATTATATCATTAGTTTCTGATGTAGTGTTCCGTGATTCATTGTTTGCATATAACACCCAGTGCTCCATTCAATACGTGCCATCTTTAATACCCATCACGAAGCTAACCCATCCCTCCACCCTCCTCCCCTCTAGAACCCTCAGTTTGTTTCTCAGAGTCCATAGTCTCTCATGGTTCATCTCCCCCTCCGATTTCCCCCCTTCATTTTTCCCTTCCTAATATATTCTTTTTTTTTTTTAACATATAATGTATTATTTGTTTCAGAGGTACAGGTCTGTGATTCATCAGTCTTCCACAATTCACAGTGCTCACCATAGCACATACCCTCCCCAATGTCTGTCACGCAGCCACCCCATCCCTCCCACCCCACCACTCCAGCAACCTTCAGTTTGTTTCCTGAGATTAAGAATTCCTCGTATCAGTGAGATCATATGATACATGTCTTTCTCTGATTGACTTATTTCGCTTAGCATAATACCCTCTAGTTCCATCCATGTCGTTGCAAAGGGCAAGATTTCGGGGGGGTTTTTTGATGGCTCTATAATATTCCATTGTATATATATACACCACATCTTCTTTATCCATTCATCTCTTGATGGACATTTTGGCTCTTTCCATAGTTTGGCTATTGTGGACATTGCTGCTATAAACAATGGGGTGCATGTACCCCTTTGGATCACTACATTTGTATCTTTGGGGTAGTGCAATTGCTGGGTCATACAGTAGCTCTATTTTCAACTTTTTGAGGAACCTCCATAATGTTTTGCAGAGTTGGGTGCACCAGCTTGCATTCCCACCAACAGTGTCGGAGGGTTCCCCTTTCTCCACATCCCCGCCCACATCTGTCGTTTCCTGACTTGTTAATTTTAGCCATTCTGATTGGTGTGAGGTGGTATCTCATTGAGGTTTTGATTTGGATTTCTCTGATGCCGAGGTTGTAATCTATTCTTTACAGTTAGTGTTTGGCTTCTTTTAGGCCTTCCCACCTGTCTGCCATTTACTTCCTCTTTTGACTTGCTTGAGGTTGGTAGAAATTAGGAAGACAACAGGAGCTGATATTCTTAGTGGAGGGCCAGGTAGATTTGAGGAAGTAAAAGATAAATGGAAGCATGGGAATGGGGATAAGGTGAGGGAGCGGTTCAGGCTAGAAATAAAAATGTAAGAGTCATTAGTATGTTGGGCTATGTGTTGAAGCCACAGGACTGGATGGGATCACCCTGGAGAGATTTTGTGTCCTAAAGAGGAGAGGGCCATCTCCATGGTTGGTGGAGGAGAGGAACCATCCAAAGATGCTGAGAAAGGGTGGCCAGGGAGCTGGGAGGGAAACTAGAGGAGCGTGTGTCTGGACACCTGGAGACAAGGATTGGGGAAGAGGAGAATGGCCAGTTGACTTTTTTTTTTTGACAAGATGTCACTGGTTGAGAATATTCTAGGGGAATGAGGCCAACTTGGAGTGGATGGAGGAGAAAATGAGAGTTGGGCAGTAGAGGTAGCAAGTATAGTTAAGGCTTTGCAGAGGTGGAAGGGAGGAGGAAAAGAGGAGCTAGTTGAATGGGTAGCATGCATGGAAGCTAGAGTTTAACATGGATGGTTTTAAAGTCTTTTTGCTTGCAGTGAGAGGGGTCCAGTGAGGACAGCCTGGGGTAGAGAGAGGAGAACTAAAGAAGTAAAGTCTTGGATAAGGTGAGCGGGACTGGGCTGGCCCTAGGTGGGAGCAGAGAGCCAAAGAGATGGCTGTATCTCTTACATCCCACATGGTGGGAAGGGTCAAGAACCTGAGTAGTCTGACATCACCCTGAGGGGAAGAGGAGAGGAAGCAGATGACTAACTGCATGGGAAGTAGAAGTTTTAAAGGGTCCTGAGTGTGGTAGCCTATTGCAACATTGCTCTAGAAAGCACTAGTATTTATGGGATGCACAGAATTTATGGAGCATTTCTGAAAGAGAACAGTGTGAAAGAACTCTGTAAAAGTGTAACATTCTATACAAATAGAGACAGTACAATAGATGGGCCTGCTTTGAGTAATTTGGTAGAAAATAGTATGGTGGATCATGAGCTAGAAGTGATGTTTGTAGGCAATTGCCAACTTCCCGCCTCAGCTGACTTGAAGGTGGTTTGAGAGGATATATACTAAGAACATATCTAGAATACAGGTAGGAAATGGAGGGTGACACAAGGAGAAACTAGTTCTTTAAATAAGGTTATATATTCCCTTTGTAACACAAGAGAACCCAATTGTTCATATTAATTTTTAATAATTTAATATGATCAAATTATCTTGGCTTGATGAAAAATATATGAGAGGCATGTACTCACTTGCCTCCTGAATAGTATAATCACTCTTACTCTGATTGCCTTGCCTAGCTAGTTATTAGATACATGAAGTGGTCTACACATCATTTTGTGTGTGTCCAACCTTGCCTCAAGGGTGGTACTGAACACTTGCTTTGCTTCCCACCCAAAGCACAGACATTCTGCTCACTTGGCTCTGACTCTCCTGGAGAGTTTCACTGTCGGCACCTTCTCAGTCTCCCTGCCCAGATGGGCCTGGGGCTGCCAAGTGAAGTGGACTGAAGCCAGGCTCAGGCTAGTGGGTGCTTGGGCCTCATTCCTCATGAGTTGTCTGGCCCTGCTTTTATGGGATGTGTTGGAATTGGAGCAAGAACTTGTCACTGAATTAAGCAAGTTTCTATTCTGAAGTATTTTTTGGTTTGTTTGATTAGTTTTGGTTGGGGAGAAAAGTTCCCCTTTTAATGGAGAATCTTGTCAGGTCTTGAAAATTTGTTTTAAGTCCATGATTATTAATGATTTTGATGTCATCGTTATTATTTTGGAAATGGTTAGATGGATCAAGAAGAATGCTTAAATTAAGAAGCAACATAAAATAGTGGAGAGAGGATAAGCTTTTTGGAGGTAGACAGATTCTGGGTTCTGATCTCAGCTCTGGTACTTCCTGGCTGTGTGGCCTTGAGCAAATCACTTCACCTTCCTGAGTCTCTTCCCTAATCTGTCACAATCAGGAAAGGATTCCTTCTGACTTTGCAGGGTTGTCATAAGAATCAGAGTGGGTTCATCTGGGATTTATGATCATCTCTTGACCTCCCAAACTCTTTTGTGGGATCCAAGGGGGAAAGAAAAATGTGAAAGGTCTGGACAGCTCTGCCAGGCAACCAAGTGGGCATCATCGTAATTCCATATTAAAATTAAACGTGCCATCACATTATTATTTGTTTGTTCATGTAGACTGTCTACAATTGCCAGCCTTGATTTTTAAAAATTTGAATAAGGAAACTATTAAAGGGGACAGGAAATTTTGAGTTGCCGTTGTCCTTTTATCTTTTTTGAATTTTTCCTCTAGTGTTTAGTTTCTTCTCTCAGTAGATAACTTGGGTTGGCAAATTTTCTTTAAATGATAGTTGGGTTTTATTTAGATATTTACCCGATAATGGTGTTTGCCATAAGTGATATTTTAATCTATTATCAGTGTTAAATAGGACCTTATGCTTGAAGCTCTGAAAGTAAATCAGGAAACCTGGACTATGGTCTTTCTAATTACAGTACTTAAATTATATAGTCCCCTAAGTGTGGTGAGTAGAGGAATGCAGCAAGTGGTTGGTTAGGAAACGGGTATAAGAAAAGGAGTGGTTTATGAATGGATGTATTTTTTTTATACAGCTTGTTTGCCAAGATGTGTTTGAATTTCTGTGCTGGAGGAACTTTGGAGATGTTCTTATTCACTTTTTACTTTTGACCAGAAATGACTCCAGAAAAGCCAAGTAAATAGTCCAGCTCACAAACCACATTAGTGACAGAACCCCAAGTCCAGGGCTCCCTGTTTCCCTCTTCCTAGACAAGGGTAACTTGCTTAGAGAGCAGCCTGCCTTCTTATGCAGATGTGCCACCCCTCCCCGCACAGGAGGCTGCACAGTTTTGCTCTGGGTTCAGGTATTGTTAGCTGTGATTTATGATGATGATGATTTGCCAGGTCTGGCACATGTTTGTGAGATTTGCTAAGATGAATGAATTAATTAATTAATTAATTAATTTATATTTATTTTTGATGGTTTGTATCTTCAGCTTTTATTTAAAGTAGACCAAGGCTCATCCCAAAGAAGTTTCCACGTGGACTCCTATCTGTGGCCAGTTCTCTTCTCTGTTGCTTTTTATTTTTTTAATTTATTTTTTATTATTATGTTAATTACCGTACATTACATCATAGTTTTTGATGTAGTGTTCCATGATTCATTGTTTGCGTATAATACCCAGTGCTCCATGCAGTACATGCCCTCTTTAATACCCATCACCAGGCTAACCCATCCCCCCACCCCCCTCCCCTCTAGAACCCTCAGTTTGTTTCTCAGTGTCCATAGTCTCTCATGGTCCATCTCCCCCTCTAATTCCCCCCTTCATTCTTCCCTTCTTGCTATCTTCTTCTTCTTCTTTTTTTTTTTTTAACATATAATGTATTATTTGTTTCAGAGGTACGGATCTGTGATTCAACAGTCTTCCACAATTCACAGCACTCACCATAGCACATACCCTCCCCAATGTCTATCACCCAGCCACCCCATCCCTCCCACCCCGCACCCCTCTAGCAACCCTCATTTTGTTTCCTGAGATTAAGAATTCCTCATATCAGTGAGGTCATATGATACATGTCTTTCTCTGATTGACTTATTTCGCTCAGCATGATACCCTCCAGTTCCACTACATCAAAAACTAATGATGTAATGTATGGTGATTAACATAACAATAAAAAATTATTGAAAAAAAATACCCTCCAGTTACATCCACAT